TATCTTCCTTCCCTCTCTTGTCATTTCCCTTGTCCTTCTTGCCCCCCCCCGGCCTCACCACCCCGCCACTGTTCTTTGGACCTGCCAAGCAGGCTCCCCCTTTGCCCTGGCTCTCTCAACTCGCAGCCTGCTTTCTTCAGATAAAACTCTGACTCGCTCCCTCTTTCAAGGCTTTCTTCAAATGTCACCTCTCACTGAAGCCCTCTGTGACCATCCTATTGAAATTTGCCACCAACTCTGCCTTCCAGTCTTCCTCTCTCTTACCTTGTTTCCCACCCCCACCTTTTACTTTAGCCCTTAAAATTTCTAATGCACTGCATCATTCCTTTATCTACCTGTTTTGCTTTGTCTCATTCCTCCACCAGGAGGCAAGCACCATGAAAGTGGAGATCTTTGTTCACAAATACATCCCAAAGTGCCCAGAACAGTGTTTGATATTTATTGAATACTTAAATGACAAATAATTATTTACTGAGCAAGTCAATGAGTGCTTTTCAGATGATTTTCTGAAAAGTCAATAGCAATTTGTACTTCTACCACGTTTCAAGGGTGTTTATTTTTTCTAACCTCAGCAGCCAAGGGTACTGTCACTGAATCTTTGCCATTCTGCTATGTGATGGTGTCTCGTGGTTCCTTTTACTTTCACATTTCTAACCACCAGTGGGGTTGAAGATCTTTTGGGGTGTTTAATGACCATTTGGAAATTCTTCTTCTGTGATTGCCTATTTACAAATTTGGTATGTTTTTCTCCTCCCCTTTGTCCTGCTCATCTTCCTCATGTTCTTCTGGAGTTTTTCTTACCACTTTGCATAACCTAACCTCTGAGTAACCTGACTTGTCTTATTATTGAAAAGTTATTTTCCATGTCTCAGGCTCATCTTTTGATTTTGTTTAGGACATTGTTACTGTAGGAAAATGTTTAAACTTCCATGCTGACATACACACCTGCCTCTCCAATCCTTCATGATTTCTATTTTTTTTCTCTTTCTTAGGAAGGTGTTCTCCAGTCATAGGTTTCTTATTGTTCTATTTTTTTTAATTCTAAATTTAAATTTTACTTTTGGAATTTATCATATGAGGCAAACTAAAGGCCAGGTTTTTTTTTCTTTCAGATGGATTATGAATTATCAGATGTATTTCAGAATTATGTGTTCTTTCTCTGTTATATTGAAAAAGCAGCTTTATCACATTAGGTTTCCATATGTGCCGGATCAATTATTAGATTTTATATTCTCTCCTCATATCTACATGTCCATTTTTTTAAAATACTGTATCATTTGGTCATAGAGGTTCCATAGCAAGTTTGAACATCTGTTGAAGAACAATCCTCTCACTAGTCTTCAATTTTGTATGTTTGACTATTCTTGCACATTTATTCTTCCACTATGTTTTCAAAATTCTTTTACCTTACATAGAAAGCTTTGAGATTTTATTTGGAAATGCATTTAACTGAAACATAGTCAATTGGTATTATTCACAAGAACTGTGTTCTATAAAGTCACCTTGAACATTGAATTAGCAAATTCTGAACCATGGATCCTAGGGGAGATACAGGGTTATGTTCCTGGGCACTTTTCCACCCACCAATCAATACATAACCTTGGTTTATGTGGGTTTTTGTTTAAAGATATCTTTTTAAATATACATTGTTCATTCACTGACATTGAATTCATGGTCCACAGCACTGTATCTCATGCCTAAATAAAGCTCACATAACACAACATGTTCTCATTTAGCTCTAGCGTAGCTTTCTTGTGCTTAGTAAACTGAACACCACTTCAGCACCACGCTTGGGGGCCTTTTTTTGCAACACTAAAATCACATCAAAAAGTACAAAAATGTGAAAAACATAGCCCCAAATAGACTATGTGGATATACTTGTTTACAGTGTGTGTTAGTTAGCTTTTTGTTGCTGTGACCAAAATACCTGACAAGAACAACTTAGAGGAGGAAAGATTTTTTGGCTCATGATTTCAGTAGTTCAGTCCATGGTCAGCTAGGTCCAAGGCAGAAACTTCATGGCAGAAGGGGTTGGCAGAGGGAAGCTGCTCAGCTCATGGCAACTGAGAAGCAGGGGATGGGTAGGGCAGAAGGGACTGGGGAGGAGACAAACCCTTCCAGGATATGTCCCCAGTGACCTACTTCCTCCAACTAGGTCCCACCTTCCAGTAAGCCATTCAGCTATCAGTGTATGAATCCATTGGATGATGAGGTTAGAGCACCCATAATCCAAAGATTGCCTAATAGCCCCACCTCTGAAACTTTCTGCATTGGAGACCATGCTTTTGACACAGGAGTCTTTGGGGGGAACATTCCAGATCCAAACCACAACACAGTATGAGAGCTGAAGCGAGAAGAGAGCACAACCCCAGTTCAACGTACTGGGAATGTATGTGTCAGGCAACTCAAGGTTTTGGCCTTTCTGGACATGTCTGTAAATACTGGAATAGTACCTTGAATATATTAATTTTGGGTTACTAATAACTTTTTTGCAAATAAGCAAATTTGTAAATACTGAATTTATGCATAGTGAGGATTGACTATATTCATTTTTGGAGAATGAGCATTCTTATGCTAACGTCTTCCCTTCTAGGTATTTGGTATGTTTCTCTTTTTGTTTGGGTCTTGTTTTCTGTACTCAACAAAGTAGTATAATTTTTTTTATACGAGCCATTTCTTTTTGCTAAACTTTTTCCCTAGTTTCTTTTAAAAATAATTTTTACAGTTATTACAAAGGGGATTTTTATAAAATTTCCAGCTGGTTATTGCTAGTATAATGAAGAGCAATGAATTTTGTGCATATTTATTTTATATTCCACTATCACTCAAAGCCTATTAATTCTAGTAGTTTTTGCTAGAGGTTTCTTGGGGATTCACAATCATATTAACTGTAAATGGAAGTAATTTTGTCTGTTCTTTTCAATTTTCTTTGTATTGTATTTGCAAGAGTTTCCCTAAATATTTAATAACACTGATGATATTTGGCTCCTAGTTTTCAATTATGTTTTTGTAAATAAAAGTATTCTTTTCTCAGTGTGAATAATTGTATGTAAAGTAAGTAAATCCACATCAAGAGAAAGAAAGTTTTTACTATGCAAACTGTTGAATCATGAAATAAATTCAATGTCATCACTAGGAATCACGATTGATCTCTTAGAAGATGGTCACTGCTAAAGTACCAACTTGATAGCTGTCGAGGATGTGTTTTGCCTATTATCACATTGTGAAATAGTAATATTCCACATTAACTTTCCCTAGGTAAGACACTGAGCAGAACTTCTGAATTCATCAATATCCAGGCTAAACTGAAAATTATTATATAACATCAATTTGGGAGAACCCTATTGTACTTGGGGTAGACAGAATAGAACACACTGAAGTTTAAATAACCTTTAGAGTTACCTAGCCCTTGCAGTTCCCTTTCTTTATCTTAGGCTCACAAATACTATTCCAAGAATATGAATGTCAGGTTATTTGTTATTAAGTGAACTAATTGGGTCACAGAGAAATAAAGTGACTCTGCTAAGGCCACACAGATAGTTGGCTAAGGACAAGGCTTCTTTGTCTCTGTGGGCTCCATCAAATTTCTCCTCCTTCCCACATTATGTCCCCTCAGTCTGTCCAACTCCCTTTCATGGTTCATTCTAAAGGGACTCACCTTATCTATCCACCGATTCTCCATTGTGTATTTATCCATTTTATCACTCATTCATTCAATTAGCATTATTGAGCATTTATCATATTTAGACATTGTTATAGGTTTTGGCAAATACAAATGGAAACAATAAAAGATTCCTCCCTCATAGAGTTTACATTATAGTGGGGGGCACAGCAATAAATAAATAAATAAGATTAGTAAGGTATACAGTGTGTCAAACAGTGAAGTGCTTTAAAGAATAAAGCAAGGGAACATGACTCATAGTGCTAGTGTGCAGACAGGGGCTGAAATGACAAATGGTCATCAGGAAAAGGCATTGAGGATGAGATCACACTTGAGCAAAGACTTTTGGTGGATTTTTAGGAGGTGCAGAGTTGAGCCATGCAGGAGATGGTCTAGGGTAACCCAGATGGCAGCATGCCTGCCTGGCATGTTCAAGGACCAGCAGGAGAGGCATATGGCTAGAGTGAATCAAGTCAAGGGAGAGGCACAGGAGAGGCTCAGAGCTGGTTCAGAACAGAACTGTTAGAGCCAGGCAAAAGGCCATTGGGAGAACATTGCTTTCTTGAACAATGGAAAGCCATCAGAAAGCTTGTGTAAGGGAGTGACAAAATCTGATCAAGGTTATAAGGCTCATCTGGCCTGTGGCACTAGAAGTAGACTGGGGAGATTGGTGAGTTTCTCTTAATAAAATAATAAAAATATGCAGAATGATGCATGCCCAGGGATGTTGACTATAGAATTATTAGGGGGCAGGAATTTGAAATAATAAAAAGTTTCAATGGTAAGCAATTGCTTATAAATTATGGCATTTTCTTACATGGATGAGAGTAAAGCTATTAGAAAAGGAAACTAATGGCATGGGACATGCTCTCCATTTACTGCAGGTGAAAATAAGAGTGAAAAATTGTATTCATAGAATAATCCCTATTTTGTTGGTCACGCTAAAATGTGAATAGCATTCATCTGTGAATAGTGGGATACTCAAGGGTCTTCCTACTTCTTTTCTTTTTTCTTTTTTTAATAAAGCATCAACTCTGAATTAGGCTTTCAAAATCAAACCAGTAAAAACTAGAAATCTAAAACAAAGTCATTCTGTTGTCTTTCTGATGCCTTTAATTAAATGGCCATTAAAAGGCCTTGCTGCCCTTAGTTCTACTCTAAAACTAAAGACCATTTCTAAAGGGGAGAGGTATTTTAATTCCTCTCTCCCCTCTACCACCTGCCTTCTTTAGAATCTTCAGTATTAGAAAAGTTGGCACCAGGCCCCGTGCTGTCTGTGCAACAAATACCCAGGTCCTCTGGGATGCCATTTTGTGGTCTGTCCCTCATGGACACTCACGTGGCCTGTGCGTGGTCAGCCATATCCTTTGGATTCACCTGGTCCAGCTGCCACCGCTTTCTCATAGCTTCTTTTCTCCCACAGCACCCTTGGAGCAGGTTTTTTCTGAGCGTCCTGAGGAGGAGTTTTGTACTTTCCATTGCTGACATCCGCTGAAATGGCCAACATTAAAAATGGCATCAGATCAGTCTAAACACGGTCTTTCCTTTCATTGGTGGATTGGCCATAGTGAAAGTTTTGGGAATTATTTCTCTTACTTTTATGCCCTTGGGAAAATCATCTTACTTCCTTACCCCTAGAATTTCCTTATCTTTTCTGTATAAACATAACATTGCGTGTTTATACAGAGACTCCAAATAGTTCATCCCCACCTCTCTCAACAACTCCTTGTCATTAGAGGAACCCAGGAATTTGGAAATGCAAAGCTAGAAGAAAGAATGGAAGAGGAGTAAGTCTATGGTTGCTAATATCTTGGGCTGCGGATTCCTTTGCGAATTGGATGATGACTCATGAATTGATCTCCAGAAAAATACTCATGGGTTTAATCTTGTGGACAATTTCAGTGGATTCATGGACCACCTGAAGTCCATTCCTTCACCTCACCTTAAGAATTTCTACAATAAATAAATAAATAAAATAAATTTTAAAATTAACAAAGGAGGAAGGAAAGGGTGCATTAAGAGATCTTCCGCTCTTCAAATTTGAAGTGTCGTAACAAAGTGACCACACGGTGGCACTGTAGCATCGTCTAACCCTGGGCTTCGGGCGTGGACGGAGGGATCAGAGACCGCTGGACCTGTAGAACCGAAGGCGTAGAGTTTAGCAAGGCAGTGCCCCGCGGGAAATATTTGGCAAGATGCGGGCCCTTGACTTTTGTTGACTATTCACGTTAAAGCGAGAATAAGGGAGAGCTATCCTCAGCAAAATCAATCCAACGTTCTTCGCTATTGTGGCATGGCGGGGACGGTGGCGCCATCTGCGGGAAGAAACTGATACATGGCAAATTAATCGTGAAAAGAAAAACGTTCTTTCTGGGGAAAGTGAGAATGCTTTTGGCTCAAAATCCACTGTTCTATTTCTCCATTTTCTTAGAACTAAATTTACTTGTTGGGTATTAATAATCGACTGTCTTAAACAGAAACAAAACCTCAAATACAGCTCTTACAGTCAAAACTGAGATAATAATCTCATGTATTTTCCTTAAAGAAAAAATACTTGAATTTTAGGAATCAGGAAAATACATGCAAAAGCAGAACTTCTCCAAAAGTATACCAGCAACCTGAATTTTTGTTGCATCATTTTTACCAAACCAAAGCTTTTTTTTTTTTTTTTTTTTTTCCATCCATGCCAATTTCCAATGCTTTCACAGACCTTTCTAGTATCCTGTGTGGGATCAATGCGGCCTTTTCTTGTCCCCAAATCTATGATGCAACAAGGCATGACAGCACATTCCTGTAATACCAGTGACTTGAAAGTCTAGGGCAGGAGGATCACAAGTTCAAGGCCAGCCTCAGCAACTTAGTGAGAGTCTGTCTCAAAATAAAAAATAAAAAGGGATGGGATATAGCTCAGTGGTAGAATGCCACTGAGTTCAATTCCCAGTACTGAAAACAAAACAAAAACAAACAAACAAACAAACAAAAAAAACCCCTGCAATCTAAAGAAAGTGTTTTTATTTAATTGATTTTATTTTTTTAAATACATGAAGCGGAATGCATTACAATTCTTATTACACATATAGAGCACAATTTTTCATATCTTTGTACATAAAGTATGTTCATGCCATTTCATGTCTTTATACATGTACTTTGGGTTTTTTTGCATTACAATTTTTATTATACATATATACCACAATTTTTCATATCTCTGTATATAAAGTAGGTTGGCACCCAATTCGTGTATTCATACATGTACTTTGGATAATGATGTCCATCACATTCATCCATCCTTGCTAATCCCCTGCCTCCTCCCTTCCCCTCCTACTCCTCTTCCCTATCTAGAATTCATCTATTCCTTCCATGCTTCCCCTCCCTACCCCACTATGAGTCAGCCTCCTTATATTAGAGAAAACATTTGGCATTTGTTTTTTGGTGGGGGATTGGCTAACTTCACTTAGCATTATCTTCTCCAATGCCATCCATTTACCTGCAAATGTCATGATTTTATTCTCTCTCTCTCTCTCTTTTTTTTTAGAGAGAGAGAGAGAGAGAGAGAGAGAGAGAGAGAGAGAGAGAATTTTTTAATATTTTTTTTTAGTTTTCGGCGGACACAACATCTTTGTTTGTATGTGGTGCTGAGGATCGAACCCGGGCCACACGCATGCCAGGCGAGTGCGCTACGGCTTGAGCCACATCCCCAGCCCCTTTTATTCTCTCTCTTTTTTTTTTTTTTGCTGAGTAATATTCCGTTGTATATATATGCCATATTTTTTAATCCATTCATCTACTGAAGGGTTTCTATGTTGGTTTCACAGTTTAGCTATTGTGAATTGTGCTGCTATAAACATTGATGTGGCTGTGCCCCTGTAGTATTCTGTTTTTAAGTCCCTTGGGTATAGTCCAAGGAGAGGAATAGCTGGGTCAAATGGTGGTTTCATTCCCAGATCTCCATGGAATCTCCATACTGAAGAAAGCATATTTATATCAAGAGCTAGTTAAGAATGGGTGTAACCTTAGTCTTAAATATTATAATGTATGGCAGAAGCAGAATCTGTGATTTTGTTGGAAGACCTTTTTGCAGGGGAGGGGTGCTAGGGATCAATAAGTTTCTGAGGCTGGCCTTGAACTATGATGCCTCAGCCATGGTAGTCGCTGGGATCACAGCCATGCACCACGGCATTTTTTTTTTTTTAAGGCTATAGCTCATTAGGACTTAATCAATGAATACTTTAGTATTTTGCATTAGAAATTACCTGAACACAGTGTTCAATTACAGGATGTGACTTCTGGTGGAACTTGCTATGAAGACCGGATAAAAAACAAACCTGGCAGATGTCAAAGTTGAGACACTTCAGACAGCGGTATCTGCCAATTAAAATGAAAATGCAGTTTATATCAATACCACTAGAAGAGCAAAGAAATAATATTCAGGTGGAGAATGAAAACTTACAGGAGATGTCTGAGCTATCCAGTTAACCTAAGATTTCTCTCAAAGTTGGTAGAGATATTAAATTATTTAATCAAATGAATCTTTTGATGATATTTTAAAAGCATTATATTAATATGGTTCTATCCAGCAAACTGTAATATAAAGGTCTGAGTTACCCTTCTCTCCCACTGCCCTGAAATGTCAAATGCCTTTTATATGTAGAGTACCAAGAGCTGTAACCCTTAAAATAAACCCCCAGGTCTACACAGATTAGGGACAATCCCTGGCTTTTAGAAGGCCAAGTCATTGCCCTTGTCCTGCTACCTTCAGATCTGTGACTGCTTCTACCCTCAAATGGCTTTATTAATTTCTCTAAACCCAAAGCTATTGCTTACATTTTCTGAGAGCCAATAATACAAGTTTAAGATTAGGATTATAATAGATCTGAACAATTTTTAATAGACTCAGAAAGTTAGAGCTAAAAGAAGCCCCAGACATCATTTGACACCAGCCTTTATTTCATTTTGCCTTGTGTATCTAGGAGTAAAGATAGCTCAACAGAAGCATTTCTAGGTGGAAGCTTAATCTCATTCTTAATAGGTAAGGATGTATTCTGAAAGTTAAAATATGGAACTTCTTGTCTTCTGTTTTTTGGGGTGACTTGAGAAAATCACTTAAATTTTTTGAGCCTCTATTCATGCCATCTGTAGAATAGAAATAACCATATGTGATTTATGTCTTATATCCTGGTTTTGAACAAAAAAAATTCAATATAAAATTGTGTGTCTTGTTATTGCAAAGTTAACTCTGTACCTGGCCTAGTAGAGGACATGTAGCAGTTCTATTACTATATAAAACACAACTTTCAAGTTACAAGTTCAGCTATTTGCAAAGATGAGTGACAATTCACTGTGTCCTTCAAATCACCTGTGAACCCAATGCATTTTCTAAGCAAAATTAAAACTTAACATCCAGGTTTTTAGTGGGTACTGAAGGACTATTTAATAAATATAGGGAACGCTTTTAAAGTCTAGTTTAGCTAAGTTCAGGAAATACAGGAACAAAGTGAGAGAGAGCCAAGCTCTGAATCCTCTGGGCCCTCCCCTTCTGGACTCACCAGCTGTGACTTGTTTTAGACTGAGTGTCCCAGAGCTCCAGTCCTACCATGGCTCCATAACCATGTTCACTCATCATGAATAATGGAGCCACCTATCCTTGGCCTAGACCTGCTAGTTTCTTTCTCTGCCTCCCAAACCTGTACCAGTATCTCTAATTTTACTTCCTATTTTTAATTTATGGGAGACCTACACCTCCCTTTCTCTAAGATGGGATTTTGACTGCTTCTTGAAAGCTGTAGAGAGCTCTCCATCTCTCACCCCAATGCTTAGCTTTCATATCAGCCTTTGTCACTAGTGGGAGGGAAGGCCTGAATTGCTCTCACAAATGCAGACTGTCCCTTCTGGCTCATACCTCATTCTATGCACAGGGTGGCAGCACAGCACCATGAATGCAAAGTAGGGACTGTGAATCCAGAGTGCCAACCTCCGCCACTTGCCAACATGAGAACTTGAGCAAGTTTTTTCAACTTTGCTGCAAATTGGATGTTCTGATACCATTTTGTAAGGCATGTAGACATATTTTAAATGAAATGACCCATGTGAACTGCTCATCTTAGCATTTGCTTAACACTTAACAAAGATAAACTATTGTTATGATTATGGATGGCTCCAAAGTATTAAAAAAATTTTTTTTAAAGACATATCTTTTTCCATTTAGGGTAATATTTACTGATCAAAGTGTGAGACAGTGGAAGAATTAATGTTCCATTGACTGTAGAAGATAAATTAATTTTCAGCCAGGATGCTTGAGGCAGGGAATTATTGAGCTGGAAGAGTCAACTGAATTCCAGATGTGCAAGGATGACCTCAGAAAGCATCTGGAGAGAAGCAGCTCTGATGCTGGACCCATTTGGAGAATGACCATCCATGAAATACCAATGATGACTGTACCTCAGTCCGATGATTGGGATCGTCCTGCAAACACTGCACCGAACAGGGTGAGTGACCATTTCAGTGGCTGACAAACGGTGGCAGATTGGGAGCCACAGGAGGATGAGAAGCTCAGACTGTATCCAAGATAAGAATTTCTCCTCCTTGATTCCTGGGCTCAACACCTGGGAAACAAGAACATGCGTAGGTATGACTTTGTGCTTTTGTATTCTTTTCCAGCTTGATTTCTGTCAGTTCTGCCAAACAAGCATATCATACAAAAACCTGGAGGCAAATGCACCTCCCGAATAGGGTTGTCTGGGGGCCCCATGGAGTCTAATTTAAATTGAGTACACTCTTCAAGTACATCTGCTCAACTCTGACATTACCAAGGTACTCACCCCTTGGAAACAGCTGCGGACAGCACTTTCCACAGGACACAGAGTGTGACTCTCCCCTACGAGGGTCGGTCGGGATCTGAAAGAGGCAACATCAATGCAGGCATCTGTGGCCACCTGAATCAGCATGCCTGAGTGGCGATCTCACAGCCACCAACTCACAAGTACTGGGTGTCTGAGATTGGATGAACTGTCTCAATCCAAGCAAACCAAATAAACTTGTGGGTTTTGTGCAATGTCTGAGTTGAAACAGTGAGTTAACCAGTGGGAAGAAGAGGAGGAGGAAACGTGAAAGAAGAAAGTTTATCAATCGGGTTGATAAAGGGATGGCTTCTGTTCTATTTCTTATGATCTCAAAGAGTTTGGTGGTTCTTCTGGTTTTTTGTTTTGTTTTGTTTTTTTTTGTTGTTGTTTTGTTTGTTTGTTTTTTTTCCTATGACAGAGTCTCACTATGTTGCCTGGCTGGTCTTGAACTCCTGGACTTAAGTCATCTTCCCACCTCAGCCTCTGAGTAGGTGGAACAGCTATGCACATCACCACACTCCATTTATATTTTTGAATATGTGTGATTTTTCTTTGTCAATTAAGTATTTTTAAAAATAAAGGGATGACTGAGATTTGACATTTTGCTTAAGATCAAAAAAGCAAGTTAGCCGGGCACAGTGGCACATGTCTTTAATCCCAGTGGCTTCAGAGGCTAAGGCAGAAGGATAGCAAGTGCAAGTCCATCCTTAGCAGCTTAGCAAGGCCCTAAGTAATTTGGCAAGACCCTGCCTCAAAATTAAAAAAATAATAATAATAAAAATGACTGGGAATGTAGCTCAGTGGTTGAGTGAAGAATTGGGATCTCACTTCAGAAGTCTGAGTGACAATAAGACTTTGAGGAGTTTTCAAAAAGCTTTGTAACATCAGACTTTATAGATATTCCAAAGACTGATGTGTACTACCTCATACTGTGGTATCCATATTATAACCACAGTCACAACAAGGAGTTTAAGGATCTAAGAACCTCTTGTAACTATCTATATGCACAGATTTATCTATGTGTCACCTCTACTTATTCCCATTTGGTCCTTGTTTTTTGGTTTGGATGTATGGTATCCCCCAAAATCTCATGTGTGATACAATGCAAGAAGGTTCAGAGGAGAAATGATCCAGTGATAGCCTTAACCTAATCAGTAAATTAATGCCTGCTGGGATTAACGGAGTGGTAACTGGAGACAGGTGGGCTGTGGCTGGAGGAAGTGGTTGGTTCGGGGAGTGGCTATGGGGTATTTATTTTGTTATCTCAAGAGCGGAGACTCTCTCTGCTTCCTGATCACCACCGTGTGAGCCACTTCTCTCTGCCACACTCTTCTGCCACGATGTTCTGCTTCACCTTGAACCCCAAGGAATGGAGCTGGCCTTCTGTGGACTAAGACCTCTGAAACCGTGAGCCCTCCAATAAACTTTTCTCCTTTACAGTTGTTCTGGTTGGGAACAGTGTGAGAAAAGCTGACTAAAATAGTCCCACTTTCTCATCCGATGTCTTCTACAGTGTGGGCTGTGGCAGGCATTGCCTGCAAGCTCAGAAGTAATCTCAAATGCCCCCCTGCTGAGTCCATCAACTGGAATAAACATTCTTCTAATCAGGAAAGTGGCACTTAGAACCTCTTTGCTGACAATTAGCCAGGCAGAATTCAACAAACATTTGCGTAATAGTGACAAGATGGCTGGTACTTTAAATTGATAATAACCCTGTCACCAGTCAAATGTAAGTAACTACTCCCTATGTTATTTGGCCTTTGTCTGAAAAAAATAACTCATTACTCATCTTTGGCTTCTGGGTGCTAATGAACTAACTGGACCACTCCTTTAGACTGTGTTGCTGATTCGACACTGTCCCTCCTCTGGTGTCCTTGAGCTTTGGCCAAGAGTTTCTTTTCATTTGTAACATAAGAGAGGTGGATAACAGGAGATCTACTTGCCAGTTCTGTGATCCTAACACTAATGAAAAGAAAATTCACTTCTGTCGTGGGTTTCCACCTATGTTTTTGCCTTTAAGGGTGTGCACAAAGATTTTGTGTATTAGTTGCCCATTTGACTAATATCTTGCAGGTGTTCTGTGGAAGAACTAAATGTGGTTAGATGACAAGCTGGCACAAATAGAATGGTACTTGAAAGGATAATTAGGATTCTTCAGGAGGATTTGAATCACATAGTGGAGTCTGGAATTTTCTGTGGAAATCCATCTTTGTGTCCATAATGCCAAGTCAATGGAATGATAATTTGCTATGCAAATATCCACCTTCCTAATAGCTCTTTCTCAGGAACATTCTAATGAATGGGGTGGGGGTGTGGAGGGGAGGAGGGAGTTGCTGTACCAGCTGCCATTTCAACAAATCTTTGAAATGAGTTACTGTTTCAGTCAGCTTTTTTGCCATTGTGACCAAAATTTCTGACAAAAACAATTTTAAGGAGGAAAAATGTATTTGGTGCCCATAGTTTCAGAGGTCTTGGCTCAATGACAGACAGCTCCATCCTGTGGGGCCTGAGGCAAGGCAGAATTTCACAGGGAGAAGGGTGTGGTGGAGGAAAGTGGCTGGAGTTGGGGCACCAGGAAGCAAAGAGACAGAGAGAACAAAACATATATCCCCAAAGCACACCCCCAGGGACCCACCTCCTGCAATCACACCCAATCTGCCTGCAGTTACTATCTCATTAATTCCTATCAGAGAAGTAATGCACTGGTTAGGTTAAGACACTCAAAACCCAGTTATTTCACCTCCAAACTTGCCTGCATTGTCTCACACATGAGCTTTTGGGGGCACACCTACTCCCCAAACCATAACTGTTATATTTGGAACAAAGAGTTTTTAGGCCCCTCTGGACCTGGTGCTAGCTTGGAGACATTGGTAGTAGTCAGGAGGAAGACACAAGTATCTCTAGATGAGAAGGAAAATGCCCCCTAGCCCATCTCTTTTCATCACACTCACTTTCTAAACCAGTCTGACTGCATAAATGGATAAAGAGATTATCCTGCCCTCCATGGCTCCCCACCTGCTTGAATTCTGGGATGTGGGATTGTTGGAAAAGAGCATCTCCTATGATGGCTCCCTAACACATGCCTGAGAGAGCATAAACAACCTGGTAGCAGTATCTGTTGGATGTTGCAACCGCCATAAAACCTTGAAAGATCTATACCTAATATTTTAACTATATACAATTTAAAAATCATCACTTTATTTAGGAAATATGAACATTTGGGGGGAAGGAAGAGGAAAGTGGAGCGTGATGGTGAAATAGGACTCTTCAATAATTTTCCTCCTACACAGACATCAATTTGAATGACTATCCATGCATATAAATACCTTCTGAAGAGCCAAGGAAAACAGAGAAGAGGTATAGTGCCTGGTTATATCATCATCACAATAAAAGACCTATTGAAAAGAACATGAAAGGTAGTTTTATATTACCTGTTACCCCTCTCCCAACCCAAGGCAGAACAGTGCTGAGAGAGGTACCATTTACTTGGGAGAAAGAGGAGGTAAGTGTAATAATTTGCATTGGACCCCAATGCAGTAAAACCTAGCACTAGGCATACCCCTAGGGTCCTGACTTCAAGCTGATATCTGTGGGCTAAGTTTTCAGACCCATCCTGGTGTGAATGGGAGCCTATACTCCCTGTAATGGTTAATTTGAATGGTCACCTTGATTGGATAAAGAGATGCTGAAGATTATGTCAATGAGAGTGTATCTAGGAATGACTGGCATGTGGAATAGTGAACTGAAGTGAAGACCTTCCCTAAGTGTGGGCAGCACCGTCCAATAAGGATGGTGTCTTGGATGGAATAAAAGTTGGAAGAACAAGGGAGCAGCAGCAGCAGCAGCAGATGCAAGCTCTATTCTCGTTCTTGATTGCCAGAGGATATCAGGATATCAGTGCTCCTTCGCTCTTCCAAAGCAGACTTTGCCAGTGATTATCCAGTCTCGGACTAGGTTAGCACCATTGATCCCAAGATATGGAAGCAAGCTAAGTATGAGTGGATAAGGAATGTATGCTACATAAACACAATGGAATATGATTTAGCCTTTTTTTTTAAAAGAGAGAGAGAAGAGAGAGAAAGATTTTTTTAATATTTATTTTTCAGTTTTCGGTGGACACATCTTTATTTTATTTTATGTGGTGCTGAGGATCAAACCCAGCACTCTGAGCATGCGTTACCACTTGAGCCACATCCCCAGCCCAGTGATTTAGCCTTTTAAAAGAAGGAAATCCTATAGTTTGCAACAACATGAATAAACCTGGCGTGTATTATGTAAATGAAATAAGTCAGGCACAGATATGTGGAGCCCATAGGAATTGATTACATATAAGTAGAGGGAAGAATGGCATTTACCAGAGGCTGGCATGGTTAGTGGGGAGAAAGAATGGGACGATATTGGTCAAAAGATATATAACTACTGTAAGATAAGAGGAATAAATTCAAGAGATCTACTAGTGGGAGTGGGTGACTATCGTTAGTGATGGATATTGTATTCTTGAAAGGTTCTAAGATAGTGGATATTCAGTGTTATTACCACCCAAATGATAAAACTATGTGAGAGATGCATTTGTTAATTAGCTACATTTAACTATTCCACAATAGATACATAATTCACAGCAACATATTGTACATGATTTTTTTTTAAAGAGAGAGAAAGAGAGAACTTTTTAATATTTATTTTTATATTTTTATATCTTTATTTTATTTTTATATGGTGCTGAGGATTGAACCCAGTGCCCCGCGCATGCCAGGCGAGCGTGCTACCGCTTGAGCCACATCCCCATACATATAATTCTTATCTGGCATTTAAAAAAGTAAGAAATATGAACTTCTCAAATTTGGGAACTTTCAGAATAAATTAAATATTAATTACTGTTACCAACATGAACATAAAATATTGTTATTAAGAAAAAGTCAAGTTAGGCGTGGTGATTCCAGCTACTTGGGAGACAGATAGGAGGATCATAAGTTCAAGGCCAGCCTGGACAACTTAGTGAGATTGTCTCAAAATAAAATAAAAGAGTAGGGGATGTAGCTCAGTGGTAGAGTGCTTGCCTAGCATGTGCAAGGCTTTGGGTTCAATCTTTAGTAGTTCCCCAAACATCCAAAATAATTTTAAAAAAATCAAAACAAAGATAATTTTACTTGGGGTAGGTTTTTCCAAACCATATCTCCTGTCTTAGTGATTTTGATAATCTTTCTCCCTACCCCACACCTTTCTCCATCATGATCATGAGGATTATACGGAGTCTGGATGTGACTGCTATTTGAATGATTTTGAGAATATCTGGTTCAGACCACTGAGAAAAAAATATCAAAGAGGTACAATAGCTTCACAAGACAGAACTTAAACTATAGGATTTTACAGAATGTGAAATTAGAACGAAGACAGCCTTCAAATAAGTTAAAGCACAGTAGGACAACAACCACTTAACACAAGACAATCTGGAACTTGCTTAATCCATTTGTAAACCAAGTTCTTGCTTGGTTATTTCATTTCACATCATTTTAGCACTGAAAACAACCTATTAAAGCAATTTAAATCCCTTTGCCCAATAGGGATAAAAACAATATCAAATTTGCACTTTCTTAAAACACTAGAAATGATAGAAATCGTAATTTGGATATTCAGTATTGCATTTTACCTATGCATTCATTAAGCATTTGTTGAAGGCTTTTTTTGTCATCAAGCACTGTTCTAGGGACTGGGGATGTGGGCATGAATTACATATAATTTGTTTCCTTGAGAAACAAGGCCTTTGAGTCTGGTGGGAAAGATTCCTATAACATTTGCCAAGTGCTGTAATAAAGTTCTGCATAGGGAGTTAAAGTCTGAGTGAAGAGGTGACTACTATTTGATGATCTTGAAAGATGAACGGCTTGTTAAGTGGTAGTACAGGCAATGGAGCTCCAGGGGATGAAAGTGCAGAAGTCAAGCTTGGAGAAGGTGCGCGTGTCAGGGACAATAAGGATTTTGATGTGCAGAAGTTAAAGGAGTGGAAGGAGCGTAAAGAAAAATCAAACACTTTGGAATAAGAGGAACCACTGGTTACCTCTTCAGTGGTGCTTATCTGAACCCACAGAGATGATGTATCACTCTTTGACTTGGAATTTTAGAACTCTGTAGAGACTGAAGTTAACTTGTAGAAAACTAATGCCAATTCTTGTCTGTGGACCTGTAAATAAATTCTGTCCAGGTTGAGAGACAATCCCCCCTGCCCCCAAATCAGTGTCGTATCCATCTGCAAACTCATTTTAATATTCCTAATCTTGCAGTTTGTTCTTGCCTCACCCTGCCCCACTTTCAGCTAGTTGTGACATTTTAAAGGTGCCTTCTTTTAATTAATAAATAAAATAGATTTTTTGACATGTTTCCTTTATATTTGTATGGAAATCATAATTTCACCTATTTTTAAAAAGAGGAGGATTGGGTCAAATCACAAAAGCTTTGCTTGTGATGCTAAGGAGTTTACGCTTTAACAATGGCCATGAGTAGGCAGTGAGGCCTTCTAGGTATGAGGATGTGCTATAGTTTTGTTCTTCTGTGTTCTCCAAAGGCCCATGTGTTAAAGACTTAGCTCCCAGCTTGGTGCTATTGGAGATGTTGGAAGACTTGAGAGGTGGGACTTAGTGGGAGGTTTTATGTCCTTGAGGGTAACTATGGGACAATGGTCTCTTCCTCTCTCAATATATGTTTTCTGGCCACCATGAGGTGAACAGATCCCTATAACACATATACCTGCCATGATGTGCTGCCTCAACATAGCCAAAAAGCCAGGGGCCAACTGACCATGGACTGAAACTTTGAAAACTGTGAGTCAAAATAAACCTTTCCTGTTTTTTAAAGTTGGTTATCTCAAGTGTCTTATTATTGTAATGGAAATCTGACTAACCCAGGTGACACTTATATTTTGGAAAGGCCACTGGCTCAGTTCAGAGGAAGAGATAGAGAAGGGGGAGGCTTAAGCTTGAGAAACCAGTTAGGATGCAATTGCCATAGATCAGATTCAAGTTAATGGGGATCATACTCAAATAATAGGGGACAAGGTTGCATGGAGAGCTATATAAAGATAGAACTGACCCAGTAAAAAACAGATTCTTTGATAATACATGTGGCCATCATAACTGAAACAAAGTTAGAATTAAGTATTAGGGGCTTACCGGCTGTAAATCTCTTAATAGGCTTCTCAAAATCTTTCGAGTCATGCGTGCCCCAGAATCATGATCTCCCTTGTTATTTTCTGCATACAGCTGAAATAGAGCTGGACGGGTAAAGGGGCAGGGAATAAAACTTTAAGTTGAATATTTGTATTCTTGAAGAGTATGTGCTTTGATCTAAGATTTTTTGTGAGTGTGGCGAGAAAGGAAGGCAGAGTTATATTCTTGATTATTTGCTTGCTCTTTTGAGGGCTTCCCAGTCTAGATTATTGGAGAACTAATGAAAACCCATTCACATTTCAACCCCTTGACAGTTAAGCATTTCTATGATGAAGATCATGAGGTTGGTAAGTGGCAAAGTGAAGATGATCTCAGTCTTTAGAGAACAATAATTGGTGGTATCTGAGTAATCCCTACCAAGCATCAAAAGCTAACAAGCAATGCATAATTAGAAAGTATTGATCGTTAAAAAAAAAATCACAATTTCTCCCACTCTTAAACATTTTTCTTAAATCAAAACAAACCAGTCATGCCGAGAACATGCTGAAGAAAAAGAGTCATTGTTACAGGGATATAAGAGTGGGTGGAAAAGACATTGCATTGAGGATTTGCGAAGATGGTGGTGTCATGGTATTTCAGAACACACAAAACTCTTATAGGTTACCTCAGTATTTTGTAAGAGGGGTATCCCCCGAGAGAGCAATTAGGGAAGCAGCCACAGGCAGAAGCTTGAGAAAACCTGTTCCTTTGCTGCATGGAACATATCACAGAGACAATGGAAAGGGCAGGGCTAATATAGGTGAAGTGGTTTATTAAAAATATATAACTATTAGTGGACATTTCTTACATGGTGGTATAAGTTATAGTTTTTGATGGCCTCTTTTTCTATATCTAGAATTTTGCAAAACAGAGCATTGATTTAAAATGTTTCAGCAATCGTTTACTCAACAAATATTTATTGGATGCCTCTCTGTGCTGAGCACTGTTCCGGGGACTGGGGATTATGGGGTACTTCTTGTCCTCGAGGAGCAGGCAGTCTTAATTCCTCAGGATGAAGCTGCATGGAAATCAAACAAAGGCTCAAAGGAGCAAACATACAAAAAACCCAAACAGAACAAAATCCACCGGTTCACTAGCCCTAGATCAGGGGCTAATCATCTTTAACCCACTGGCTGAGTAAGTTTACAAAACCTGCAAAATAACTTATCAAAGGCAGGAAGGCTATTATAAACAAGCATCATAGTTGCAGTGATACTCCAAAGTTTGACATTTAAGAAGGCTGAAATCATTTAAAAAATAACTTGAGAATATATATTACTTATGCAGTTAAAAATAATAAATTAGAAAAGAAAACAACTAAGGAATTTGTCTAGTAGTTCAACCTGGGCTTGCCTCTGGGAGGTCAGTTTATGGGTAATATTCTTCTCTGGTTTTTTTCTCTACTTTCTAAGTGTTTTGTATTCACTATGATTTTTTAAAAGTTCATTTTAAAGGACACAGTCTGCTGAATCAAGATTACGTAAGTAAATCTAAATGAGGAGGAACAGAGAATGTAAAAGCTATAGCTCAGCAAAACATATAACACACACACACACACACAGATTAGCAAAGCCATTGACTGCAGAGTACATGTAATCAACTCTTTGACATGCTCTAAATTGGCCTATAGGTTAGTCATCCATGTGCTCGATACTCAACCCCATTCAATCCAACAACTCAACTACTAATGAATTACAAAGAAATGAGTAGGGAAACAAACATACTTTGAGGGAGTTAAGAGCAAAATAAAGATGTATAATGCTCCTTGCAAAAAGTGCATGTTTTTCCAAAGAGTAATGTGGAGTTTTTTCCTTTCTTGCTCTCCATGGGACATTTATACTAGTGACCTGGATAAGGATTTCCTTCTTTGTTCTCTTTCTAAATGAGTAATAAATTTGTGGAAATAGACAAATTAATAATGCTTTTTTTATACCAAATCTCAAGCAAACATTACAAAACATCCAATGGTCAATGACTAGTGGCAACTATACATTGCCCTTGATGGCTTGATGTGACATTCACATCCTCACCTGTCATACATGGTCTTGAGAAGGCTCAAAGTGAGTTCGGAAGCTCTGGGATTCACTTGTCCTGATTTTCCTTCCCTAGTTCTCTGAAACAGATCTTGGAGTGCCTGAAGAAGCTGATGCACAGAAAGGGAGCTCTCTCTGGCCTCCCAGAATCTTCCATGTAGAAGGACCTGCTCAATCAGGGAGCTGTGGATCAAATCCACTGTAGGAAGCAAATGAAGAACTGAACCTTCTTTTCTGATGATAACAAATGGCTTCATATAAAGCAAATGTCTTCTAGTGTTTAAACAAGACTATTTTCTTTCTGGCAGCTATTTTCCTTAAAAGAATTAAATATGACCATTATTCGAACACATGCTTTGTGTGTAATTCAGGCATTTCTATTCTGACAGTCAATTTGATTTTGGGAAAGTACATCTGTTGGTAAAGCATAGTTAAAACATTATTGCCAGTATATTTTCTAGGATGCCATTTTATAGAATGAAGTTAAAAGGAGAAGTAAAAAATCTGAAAAATAAGCCTTCCAAGGAAGTTAAGAGGCTGTAGAGACAAATTGGGTAAAGTACTTGTGTGTGTGTGTGTGTGTGTGTGTGTGTGTTATTAGGGATTAAACCCACGGGGTCTCTACCATGAGCTACATCCCCAGCCCTTTTTTAAATTTTATTTTGAGACAGGTTCTTGGTAGGTGGGCCTTGAATTTGTGATTTCCTGTCTCAGCTTCCTAGGTTGCTGGGATTTCAGGTGAGTACCAATGTGCCCATCAGGGAAAATATTTTCATAATTTGCTTTCAGTGGACTGAAAAAGTTTACCTTTCATGTCTAAATTCCTGTCTGCAGCCTACCTTCAGAAGGACTATCTTGGGTTAAGATGCAATTGCCCTAGTAAAAAAACAGACAAGTTGGGCTGGGGATGTGGCTCAAGCGGTAGCGCGCTCGCCTGGCATGCGTGCAGCCCGGGTTCGATCCTCAGCACCACATATAAACTAAGATGTTATGTCCGCCGAAAAAACTAAAAAAATAAATATTAAAAATTTCATAAAAGCAAACAAACAAACAAGTTGCTTGCCTCGCATGCATAGGCCCTGGGTCCACCCCCCAGCACCAAAAAAAAAAAAAAAAAAAGCAAACAAAACCCCAGTGATCTTTATAAATGCAGTTGCTGAATTATCAGACTCTTTAGGTCCCACCCTTGCCTCAGCCAAATCACTTTTAAAATCTTGGTTCCATCAGTATTATTATCTAAAGAAGGCACTTAATAAAACTAGAACTGCTTATAAAAAATAATGGTTTCTCATATATATACATATATGTACACACATATGTGTATATATAATATATATATATATATGTTTTACCATCTTCTAAAAATTTTACAAGGCAATGAAAAGAAAGAAGAATGAAATAGAGGTAACTCTCTATTTTCTTGCAGACACAGGATGACAGACAAAATTAATAAACACCCCCTGTGCCTTCCAAGGAATAGGGATGTCACAAGAACCTCTAGAATGGCTGGCATTGAAAACACTCCAGTCTGTGAAAGGATAAAACTCCATGTTTCTCTCTACTTCGTAAATCACCGTCACAGAAAAGAAATCTAGCAAGTATAATAAAATATTTTATTTGTTCTCTGATATTGCTTTTTAAGGGGAGAGTCTAGGGAACAGAGGAGCATGTTTCCAAAATGTGACTTAAATAAAAACCTGGCCACAGGTGGTGGAAGCTATAAACTCTTCCATTGTTATTCAATCACAAACCCTAGCACCTGGGCCTGGCATTCTGAACACAGGGTGTTTTGTCTTTTGTTGAGAGGTCTGTGTTACAGCAAACCAGATAATGGTGCTGCCCATTAATCTCATTGTGAGATTTACACATCGATAGTCTCCAGATCCTGCTACTTGGAGTTCATGTTTTATCTGAGGTTTAGGTCTTCTTGTTTTCAAATGTCTGTTTGAATATCTTTTCTAGGTCGAATTTTTCAACACTGATTTTATGTATTGCTAATATTTCTCATGGGTATTACGTACATTCACTGCTTCTGATGCCAGGGATAACAAAAAGGTTTAAAAAAAGTACATCCTCCATTGACATTCTCTATTTCTAGGTCCAAATGATGGAAACTTAATGTGAACTTTCACTGATAACTTACTTTCTCCCTCCCTCCCTCCCTCCCTCCCTTCCTTCCTTCCTTCCTTCCTTCCTTCCTTCCTTCCTTCCTTCCTTCCTTCCTTCCCTAGAGGGGTACTGGGGATTGAACTCAGGAGCACTCAACCACTGAACCACATACCTAGCCCTATTTTGTATTTTATTTAGAGACAGGGTCTAATTGCTGAATTGCTTAGTGCCTCGTTTTTGCTGAAGCTGGCTTTGAACTCACTATCTTATTGCCTTAGCCTCCCGAACTGTTGGGATTACAGGCATGCGCATCTGTACTGGGCTCACTACTTTCTTTAATGGGAGAAAATCTCCAGGAAAATGACATAATTGGGGATAAATTTTTAATAAGCACATTCTGCCTTTTGTTTATTCCTCTAATAAATAATAGTTACAGAAGAATTTTTATACAACAGCTATTTAAGAAAAATTTTTGTAAAGCTCAAAATTCCTTCTTTGGATAAATCTGGTACAGAAGCACAGTATGAAGAAGAGCCATAAACAGGATGTTCTTGTTGAGGATATGGCCATTGAGTATTTCCACTCTGCCTACACCTCTTCTTCCCACCTTGCTAACCCTGTTGTACCCTCCCTCACACCATGTATACTTCATGAAGCACAATTTGAAAACCATTGGTCTATATAGCTTATCAGATAGAAGGAAAATGTAAAAAATGACAACCTTCAATAGAAGCTGTGTCATCTATATAACACAACTTCTTTTAAGTCTGATATAAATGTCAAAATAATTTTGTACAAACTCATTATTCTAATGCAATGAAGAACATGTGAAAAGTTAATAATTTTAGATATGCTGAATGCCTGTTGTTTTTCATGGCTAGGACCCAAGTTACTTCATTTTGGAAAATTTTAACAGGATAAATATTTTGAATATATTTAACCTAGATAATGGTATAAGAAAAGAAAATCATAATATTCAATTCTAAATAAATTTAACTCAAAGAGAGTTCTCAAGAGGATTCTGTAGACAATTTTAAAATTTATGGCCATTGCTCACACATTTGAACCTTCATTTTCGCATGTTCAGCGTATGTCATAAGGCATACGACTTGAAAATTCATATATTATATGATGGAAGTAAATTTTAATTTTATGTTTAAATATGTAAGTACAGATTCTAAATTAATTTTTATAATCTGATTTTGTGTTGATATTGGTATCCTGAAAGGGACACCAAAAATGTTTTCAGAAGCCAAGCAGGAAAAATTAAAAGAAAAATAAAACTAAACTAAACTCGTAATCCACAATCATTTTCTATTGTCAGCAAAGCTATGTGTTGGTTGAATGCACACAAAATTCTCCCCTTCACTTCATCATCTTCTGTGTAACAATGGGCTAAATGCACAGGTCCAGCCCTTCCAGAGACCAGCAGTTACTTGCATGGGGTAAGTTCTACTTTATCTATGAATTTTATATCACACATCATCAGGGTCAGATTATTCTAAGTGTTACAAGAGAGCGTGTACTTACATTGGCACAAAGTTTGCACTGATCGCAATTTGAAGGCTGTTCTATACATGGAATTCTCAATATTATTAAGAATATCTGTAAAGAAAGCATGAAATATCATGGAAAAAGGAGTTTCACGATATAAAAACCATGTCCCAGAAAGGAATGTTAAAGATCATGTAACCATATATTATTTTGCAGGTGAAAAAATTAAAATGAAGAACTCTCCTTTCTACCTGAAAACAAAAAATAAGGGACTTATAGTATCCTATGGCTGCAAGTGACCCTAAAGAGTACTCTGCAAATCCACCAAAAAAGGAGTCCATCAAAAAGTGGGGCGTCAGCTCACTTTTTATATAAGAAGGCAAAGGCCTTGTGAAGCAAGACATACACACACACACACACACACACACACACACACACAAAAAAAAAAAAAAAAAAAAAAACCTATATATAGTATTTATAGCCATCTGATACTTGCCAAAGGGGCCAAAAAGGTACACTGATACATTGTTGATAGAACTGAAAAATAGTACAACCACTGTGGAAAGCAATGTGGAGATTTCTCAAAACACTAGGAATGGAACCACCATATGACCAAACTACACCACTCCCTGGTTTTTATCCAACAGAACTAAAATCAAAATACTATAATGAAACAGCACAATTCACAATAGCCAAATTATGAAACCAGTCTAGATGCCTGTCAATACATGAATGGATCAAGAAACTGTGGTATACATACACAATGGAGTTTTACTCAGTCATAAAGAAGAATAAAACAATGGCATTTGCTGGTAAATGAATAGAAATGGAAAACTAAATGCTAAGTGAAATAAGCCAGATTCAGAAAATCAAGGGTTGCATGTTTTCTCTTATATGTGGAAGCTAGAGCCAAATAGGAGAAAGGCAGTGATGGGGGTGATCAGACATCATAAACATATATGGAAAATCAGTGGAGTAGAAGATAGAGAATGAGAGGGAGGGAGGGAGGAAGGATGGGGAAGGGAGAAAATATGAAATGAAACTAACAGAATTATGTTCTATGCAAATGTGAAAGTACCAAAGGGAATTTTACTTTTATGTATATGTAAAAAAAAAATGTAGAAAGTACCAATCAAGAATAAATAAATAAAGGAGTGAAAGGAAAACCACTAGAGCTGGGGAATGAGAATGGGGGCGGGGGTGGGGAGAGGGGAAGAAAAGCCAGGTGGGGCAATGGGGGATTGAAATCAAATTCCTTGAATGTGTGATTTTGTCAAAATGGACCCAACCACTATGTATAACTATAATGCTGTAATGATAATAAAAAAACTGTAGAATATAAACTCAACTTTGCCACTATATTCCAGTTTTATTTGTACACATATTTTTATGCATAAGCAAAAATGACCAAAAGTTGTCTCAAGTATTTAGCAAGTATTTCTTGAGTTCTTCTATGACATGAGTCTAGGTCCTTGAAATATTATTGTTAACTAAACAGATAAAAATTCTCACCTGTGAAGAGTTTAACCTTAGTTAACAGTAGGCATCTTTGGATTCAGGAATTATCAGTGTTTTTAGTTATTTTATACTTGTTGCTATTATCTAGATGGTCTATAAAAAGCATGTTTAAAAAATTTTTTTTTTTAGTTGTAGATGAACACAATACCTTTATTTATTTATTTATTTTTATGTGGTGCTGAGGATCGAACCCAGTATCTCACACATGCTAGGCAAGTGCTCTACCACTGAGCTACAGCCCCAGCCCAAAGCATGTTATTTTTATAATAAAAAAGAATCCTTAGTAGATCTTATTTCCAGTTCACACCACCATCATTGCTGTAATGGCTAGCAGTTGTGAGCACTTTCTAGGCACTGATAGGGAATTTTCCCATTTCACTGTGTGAAGGAGAGGAGAGAGCTCTGGAGCCAGTCCTGCCTAATTCTATTGTTTCTCTTTCTCTTTGGGGAAATTAATTTACTTTTTGATGTTCAGTTTCTTTCTCAGATAGATAGGGAATATAATACATCCCTCAAAGGGTATTTGCATGATTTAAACATTATTACTAAATTGTTTCCCTTACTTTTCCATAGCTTATATCTTCAATCTTCCAAAATTTGATATCTCTTGAAGAGACATGTAAAGTCTCACAACAGAGCTTTTTGTTGTCTCCTAACAGAGTTTTTTTTTTTTGGTTGTTGTCTAAAACTGAAATAATCAGTCTTCACATCCAGCAAAATTAAAAACTATGAAATAGAATTCATCATTTGATCATGTTATTTTTGATGTTTTTCAGCAACACTTTCAAAGGTCTTACACATTGATTGTTTAGTTTATTTTAGGAACTTAAAACTGCCTGTTCTATTCAATTATTGTTGGTATACATCAGTGGTCCTCAAAGTGTGTTTCTGGGCCAGCACCATCACTATTACCTGGGAACTTGTTAGAAATGCAAATTCTCACCAATTCTGTCCTGTAGAGGTGAGACTAAGCATGTTGCTTAAACAGGCCCTTGAAAACATGATATAAACGAAATCTGATGTAAACTATAGTTTGAAAACTACTGGAATGAAGGAAATTTCTTGATTTTAGTGCAATTGTCTTGGATCCAGTCAACTTGCAAGTGATTCTTAGGGATTATTTATATAGACAGTCATATCATCTGCAAAACCTGATATCACCTGTGAATGTTTGTGTTTGTGTGTGCATAGTTTGGAATTCCCAAATAGAAACAGCAGATAAATTTCAATCCACCACTCTGTGCCAAATCCAACCACTGGTACCAATTTAGGGCTATTTTAACAAGGTCTCTCAAGGAGCCCTGGGCTTTTTTTGCAGCAGTGTGGAGAGGATAGCGATGGCTCTGATGTCCTATATTTTATTTGTTTGCTTCAGGGTAGCAGTGTATCTGTACTGATACCTAGAATTCTTGGGGGTTTCCTTCTCTATTACAACAGGGTTGTAAAAAGTACTATTTAACATATAATCAATATAAAGATTATTAATGAATTATTGTATCTTATTAGTCATTGAACTTCCATGTCTTTTTTACACTTGCAGCACATCTCAATTCAGACTAGCCATAGTTGGATTGCTCAATAGCCACATATGGCCAGTGGCTACATACTGACAGCTCAGTTTTAGAGAATATGGGGAGGGGAAGCTGTTCAAGGTTCTGAAGAGGGCTTCAATTTTTGATTTTGCAGCTGGAGTCAGGGCTGCTAGTTGGGCTGAGCAAGAGATTTAGGAGTTGTTGGTGTTGGATTTGGGCAATACCATGTCCATTAATCAGACTGAATAGAACATACTTAATGAAGAGAAAATTAGGCTAAGTAGCAACACCTTTATGAGCATGATCATCTAAGTAATAGAGGAGGAAAGAGAAACCTAAGAGGACTGAGAAGGGAAAGACAAACGAGGAGAGCAATTGATGAAATGCCAAGGAAGGTAAGTTTCAGAAAGTAGAGACAAGCCAAAGCTTCACTACCTGCTACCTGCAAGCTACAAGATCATCAACTGTGGGCTGAAAAGTGTCCTCAGTTTTTAATGGTTTACCTGATCTTTGGAAGTCTTTGCAAGAGCAGTTTCGGTGGAGTGAGGGGGATAAACAACAAATTGCAGAGGATTAAGCAATGAATGTAAGATGAAGAGAAAGCCTAAAATAGGCAACTTTTCCAAGATCTTTAATCTGAGAGCGTCATAATGAAACAACATGTAAAATGAAAATTTGTTTTCAAAGGCAAGAGAGATGATAGAATGCATGTATAGGTCAAGGAGGAGGAGCCAGGAGAGGAATAAGCCTTGAAGGAAATAAAATACTTTCAAATGTAACCATGAGTTAATTGCCATAAAACTCAAGCAACTGGGAGTAAGTGGCCTGTGTGCTGGGAAAGTTTTGTGACTAGAAACGCAGCCAGTCCTTTAACCTTTGCTAAGTGGACCCCAAGCAAAACTAAAATGAGGGACTACTAGGTGGACTTCATTAATTCAAATATCTGTGACAAGATCATTCATGGTTGTGGCCATATTATTTTGTTTCTATTCTTTTAGCAATGAGAACATTTAAAGATTGAAAAGACAATGTTTCCATGCCTATGTCTCTGTGTGTTTCAAGATCTAAGCTCTTTTTACTCCTTGGGGTGATCTAACAGTTGTTTTGAATTTAAGGATCCATTAATGAAGTCCACACCACTCAGGCCTTACTTACTATGAAGGGACAGACAACCCCATTGAAGAACTTATCTATAGTTTTCCTGGAGTGGGGAGAGAGGCTGAACCCTGGACAGAAGTTGGGATTGGGGGATATGGGGATGTTAGATATGGGCAATATCATGTTCACTAATCAGATTGTCTAGGTAGAATATATTTAGTGAAGAGAAAATTAGTCTAAGTAACACTCTGAGGAACATAATCTTCTAAGTAGCAGAGGAAGAAAGAAACCTAAGAGGTTTATCTTACTGTATGCATGCTAGTAGAAGGAATGATGGTATGGCACAACCAGGGAGACCAGAGACCAGGGGTGGCAGAGTCTTCTGTGTGCAATCTTGCACAGAGCCCCATGTCTCCAAGTAGACTCTAAAATCAAAGGCAAAAAGCAAGCAAGTGGCAGCCATGACAGATCAGCAATCAGACTGGGGCCTCTGTACAGGTGTTAAAGATAAAAACCTTAGAGGTTTCTGTCTGTTTCCAAAGGATGGTTCCTTCCCAAACTTAGTCTTAAGTTCACACTGAAGTACAATTTTACTTGATTTTGATTTGGAAAATGAACATTCAGTGTTGTGAGCAAAGTCCTCACTTTTATACATAAGAATATTGAGCTCCAAGCACTATGCCAAATCACTGAGGGAGGGTCACAGTGCTGAATCGGGACAGGCCCAACTTTAAGGAGATAGAGCATGCCACAATCTACTCCCTGAATCAACAGATAGCCCTCTGTATCCCAAGTTTCTGTATCCATGCATTCAATCAGTTGAGGATTAAAAATAGTTAAAAAATTAAATCTGTACTGAACACAGACTTTTCCCCTTACTATTAAACAATACACTCTGACAACCATTTACCCAGCAGTAATATTTCATTATGTATTCTGAGAGACCTAGAGATGATTTTCAGTATATAGAGAATGTGTAGAGGTTACATAAAAATATTAAGAACACTTTACATAGAGGTCTTGAACATTTGCAGATTTGCATACCTGTAGGGGATCTTCAGACCAATCTCCTGTGGATAGCAAGGGAAAACTAGCTGTATAATGATTCAGCAACCAATATCATGAGTCAAAGACACTTACATAAGGTGAATGTAGGCTATGCACCTATATTCCCACTTAAAGAAGAGATCCTGTTCCAGGCCCCTCTACTTCTGTTCTTTTATTTCCAAGTGCAAACATATCCAAGAACCCACAGTTCACTGTACATCTTTTGCTATTCAATATTTCCTTGTTTTAAAAAATTCTTAGTTTTCAGAGAAAACTCCAATGTTAAAGAATGGGAGAGGTCAGAAACCTCTTTGGAAATATGCATAATAGTGTGGAAATAATTGTCAACATGTGATGCCCAGCATTATTTGTTCATCTGGAAATTGTCCAATTTTTGTGCCCCAGTTTCTCCCAGATGCACTAAGTGGATACAGGGAATCAGTAAACCAGGGTTTCTGCAGGTTCCCAGATGCAGCTCTTGGTGGAGGAGCAGCTCTGTAGCTGCCTGCCATCTGGCCCATCACTCCTGTCAAGTGATGCTTTGCAGTGTCATCTGATGAAGTTATGCAGCGTAACCTGGCAAGCTGTGCGATGTGGAAAATGAATGTGTATCCCAGGTGAGCTGCCAGCAGCCCTGTTTCTACTAGGCTTCATTGTTAAAAACTTCTTTTCTGGCAGTGTGAGAAAACTCAAGAAAGGAAGACATTGCTGGATGCATCAGGCCCTAAGTTATGAACAAAGTAGTTTTAGATGCTTGAAGACATAATAACATAAACTGCATGTGTGTTTCTTAGAAGCAATTTGGGAAACGTCTTTGCTTCCAACAATCCTCACTTTTGCTTAGCTAGATCATTATGTTCATTTCTTACATATGAATGTAGTGAGATCTCTTTCAACTGTCCATCATCTAGTTGGAGGGTCCAGAAATAGATACTTTAGGTCAGTGGCCTTCCCAGCGTGGTCCCAGACAAGCAGCATTGGCATTGCACAGGAACTTGTTAGAAATGAACCTTCCCAGTCTGTACCCTAATCCTACTGAATCAAACTCGACAGGGGGTCTCCAGCATTTTAACAAATCCTCCAATGATTTGAGAAACACTGCTTTAGGGAGAGAAAAATTGAGCTTTGAACAGATTACCTGCTGTTTTGTGTTGGGTTTACTAGTAGGAGGGTTCCAATTTGGGAAACCCCAAAATAATTTGACTCATAATGTTGTTTTCAATAAATATCTTGAGATTATACAGAATTTTATATCAATCAACTAAAGTTAACAATCTGTATTAGCTAGGAGAAAGTGGTTGCAAATAGTTCCAGAAATAAAAATGTCACAGACTAGTCATGGGCTTAACTTTCAATACAGAGATGTAGGGAGAAAGAAGAATTAGTTTCTCCATATTCGTTTATCAAATATTCATAGAGTGACAGCTGTGGGAACTTTGCACTCATGTTGTACTGTGAACTTAATCTTCCCATAAAACTATCTCAAGTGATGTCATTTAAATAGCAAACTATGAAGATAAATTTTAAAAAGACACTTTTGTGTATTTGAATAGCAATTTAAAACATAATTATGGGATGTGAAAACTTTTGTCAAATTAGTTTTGGTGCTTCAGAGACAACAGACTAAATACTTTTCAATCCATTATGAATTTCTATTTAGAAAAGAGAGAAACTCACTTTACTCAACTAATAACTTCTTTATTAGGCAAAACATTTGCTGTGTGCCTACTCTTCTACTCTCAGAGGTCTGAGGGTACATCTGCCCCTCAATTTTTAATTTACAAACTATGTTCAGAAACTTGACAATAATACTCACCTTTTTTATCAGGGTCCATTTCACGAATTTCCTGAATACCAAATGGCAGGATGGTCCTTGTAACTAGAAATGAACCGATATGTATGCAGAAGGTTTTGAAATGGAGGAATGAGCAGGGGAGAACAAGAAGCCAATTAAAGGAATCATTTTATCCATGGAACAGGGGGACTGGGAAATCTCTTAAGGAGATGAAAAGGAGAATATAAGGTAGAGGCTTCTTATACTGGCCACACTTTTCATAAAACTGAAAACAGCTCCTGAGACTAATACTATCAACACCAGAACTTTTGAGGCATTATCATTTAAAAAATAGACTATATTCTAATTTAAGAAAATTTAAATTTGCTTAAATTTTAAGGACAAAAATTGAAACTCAATTATTTGCATGTCAAATTAGACTTATGCTAAATTAGTCTATATATAAAATTTCTAACCAATACTATTTATCACATATATATCCAAATATTCACATTTATGTGTTTCTACATAGAATTCAGCCAGTATTTTAACAAAAACAGTCAATTAGCTACCTTGTTAATAGTTTCTAATGTTGTAACATTGTTCAAAGCATATCCTTTGACAATGAGTTATTCCACAAGAAAGCCTTTCCAAGAAAATGCCATTGCATTTGTTGACATCACATTTGAAAACTGGTTTTAAAAGTTGGTACCCACCCTCCCAAAAAGTTACGCAATAATTAAATTTAAACAGTATTCTCTCTCCAATGAACCAATGAATGAATGAACAAATTATTTGGGTATATAAATATTATTTTACATGGAGAGAAACTAAAGCAAACACTGATTACATTACTTTTCGAAAAATATGATAGCAATAGTGGAAATCAGAGATTGCCGAAATCTAGGCAGTTTCCAAATATATTTAAGTATGATCTGTTTTGAAAAGTTGTAGCAAAAGAAATAAGGTCAGCACTGTCCTTGGAATACAAATGCTATCTGGTTGCTTCCTGAGGTCTCCAGGTGACACCGAAGGGTCAACCTCCTGTCCAGTCAGTATAGCTGGAGATGGCTCTGCCATGTCCTTACCTTTCTTAGTTTTCCTGGGGAAGCATTTGAGTCAAACTTTCTGCATAAATGACTCAGCAGTTCTGAAAGAGGGAAAAGCTGGGTAATTGCAGACTCAGATGTGGTCTTTCCATGTAGAGGTTTTTTTTTTTTTTTTTGTTCTGACTGCCCCACAGTCGCATGTAAAACCGTGATGTGTGAAGTTGCACTATTCCTAAAGGCTTGCTCAAGTGCATTCATTAGTAATAGAGATCTTGAATAATTTAAGGCCACCTGTACATCTCTGTTTCAAAGGGCCATTTCTGTTTTAGTTTGTAGGAGAGGAAAATAAAACATGTTCTGGGTGTTGTTGAGAGCGGGGTTTACCATCTCTGTATTCCAGGTAACGGCAACCTTACAAACAAACCCAGAAAAGAGTTACATATGAATGGAATCTAACTCATTTTATTAATTCTTTCATAAATACAGAGGTATGATTTCACATTTAAAAAAGGTACTAAATAGATAAGTCTTCAAAAGGATAATTACAATTTGTGATTGAATGCATATTCTCTCTTAAGTTTTGAGTATAACCCCAAATATCTTATTTCTAAAATAGTTCACATTAAAAAAAACACTTTCTAACTCTACTAGAATTTTTGAAAAGGGCATCACATGAACCTAACATATCAGAACTTTACCATTAACATTTTCAGGCTGCTGAAGAGGTAGGAAATCAATTTTGATTTATCTTTCAAAATTATTTGAACCTCCAGCTGAGACATTATACTCCAAGAGCAATACATAGTCCCAACTAATATGCTTAAAACAACTGTAAGTGGATACAAATCTACTCTAGAATGTCCCATAACAAAAATCACCTTGAATGGGGCTGGGGTTGTGGCTCAGCGGTTGAGCATTTGCCTTGCATGGGTGGGGCACTGGGTTCGATCTTCAGCACGACATAAAAATAAATAAAACAAAGATATATATTATAAAATGTAAAAAAAAGAAAATAACCTTGATCTATGTATATGAAGTTGAAGAACAGTCAATTTACTATTTTCTTCTTGAAAAGTATTAGCATCACACTGTTGGCCTCTTAAAAACAAAAACTTGGGACGTTTTACAAATGAAAATTGATGAGTAATGGGGCAAGAATAGGATCAAGTGGAGGGGAAAACAACTGATCATTTATGCCAATCATACTGGCCTCCTGTAAACAGATAAGACAAAAATCTAGGAGGAGAGCAAATCTATTTTGTACAAAAATCTACATCTGGTTGAATGCTGCAGACTCAAAGTTGAAATAACATTTAGAAGTTTTAGATTATGTTGTAACTGTATCAAGACATACCATAATATCTGAGGTATGAACAATAGAAGGAGGCTTGAAAGTTTTTTGTTTTTTTTAATGTCATGTTCAGATTTGAGCAAAGCTCTAGCACTGACTAATTCTGTTGAGTCAAGAATCTTGTACCAGGGGGTTTGGGGATGTAGCTCAGCTGTAGAATCTTGCTTAAAAAAAATTTTAAAAGTTGTCCAAAGTTCCAATTAAATCTTACAAGGGCTTGATCTAAGATTATCCCTATGAAAAATGTTGAATTTATGAAGAATGGATTTTGAAACTTTGAAAATGGTTAACTTCTCAAATAAAAGTATCAATATCCAAAAAAAGAGTTCCAATTAAATAACATAATTAAATAGAGAAGTGCCGCAGTCTGGCTGGGCACAATCAGGAGCCACTTGTCAAAAGAAACTAACTTTATTTTTAGAACCACACACGCCAAACAAAACAGCCTCTCAGGAAAAACCCTCAGAGCCTCAGCTGCCACCTCCGGCTTTCCACAAGCCTCTCTCTCCCCCACAAGTTTCTCTCCACCTCCCACAATCCTCCTGCTCTTGAGGCCCATTGGCTGGGTCACGTGGGCGGAGCCAAAAAAGTCCCCCAATGAGCAGCTCCATGGTCTGAAAGGGCAGGGAAACAGCCCAATGAGCATCACCGCAGAGGAGCCAATCAGCTAGATGTTGCTGGGGACGCTGTGAGCCAATCATCAGCCGGCAGCTGGAAGTTTGATGGGGCCCCTTGGGCTGTGGCTCTCAACAGAGAAGTGTTCTAAATATTTAAATATAGAGTGAACTAGGATACAATGAAATGTAACTTGGGCAAATGGACAGTTGCTAGCCCTGAGATTTTAGCCTGGCTGAACTTGGGACAGGCTTAGAGAAAAGATCTGAAGACTTGTTTCACTTACTTCTGTTAACTGGAAACTTATTGTTACTGTTGCATCCTCTGGTTCAAGTTCTGACAAATGTAGTCACATTAAAACATCCCCTCCTCTCTCCACTCTTGACCTTCTCTCTTCTCCTCAGGATTACAAATAAAACAGTTATTATAATTTTGCCTCCAAAATGACTGATAAGGTGGCATTTTTTTCTAACATGTTCCTACTGTTACTGGTAATTGAGTTTTTTTTTTCAATGTAATATTTTGATATTTAAAAGAAGAGTTATGTGAAAACAAGAGAACTTAAATTATCAGATTTTATTTAGTACGCCAATACAATTTATCCTGGTAATAAATTAATATGTAGTTATAAAAATGTTTGTGCTATCCAAGAAAAATGCTTTTTAATGTATAAAGTATATGCAGATCCTTCAAACAGCCGACTTAATTTTCAAACTCAGAAGTGTGGTAACATCGCTGATAAAAATTGGGAGTTTTCCTGAATTCATGATTCATAAGTTTTGAGTTTATCAAGGTTTCAATTGCCCTTTCCATTCTGGCAATTGCCCACACCTGAAATGAGAACTGATAGCTGAAAACGTTCTGATCCCATCTCTTACACCTGTACAGGTGAGGGATCCACTGGCCTGAACTCAAGACCCCAGAGCTAATCAGACAGAGATTGCATTAAATCAGTTCACAGAGGTGCTCCACAAATGTCTGTGGGGCTAAATAAGGCACAAGCATCACTCAGAACTCCAATCATACCTGAAAAACCTTGGTTTTACTTTCTGCTTACTATAGAATTAATTCCTGGTATGTTCTGTTGTAGTTCTCAAACTTAAACAACACAGTTGCTTTAAAACAAAATCATTCCTATTATTGCAGCATTATCAACAATCACTGACTGCCAATGCTGTTTGTATTTCTTTTCTCCTGGGATGTTTGAATTTAGGCAAATTTTTTTCCTGTTCTATGCTCACAGTAGACCCTCACCAAGGATGTCTGTTCTTGCTTGAAATTCATTGGCAGCGGAGAAAGTTTATATATAGTTAGTACCATCTAAAATGAGGTTGAGAGAGTTCATTTCTCTTTGCAGGTCACTGCCCACTAGAGTTAACTTGTATCCTGCTCTGTTCATTTGAGCAGTCACTTTGATTTTCAAAGTTGTGTGGATTACTTCTGGGCTAACAGTGTTCTAAGCAGCAGTGAGACTTCTCATCATGTCACAAATATGCCATATAATGTACGAAGTATATCTAGCATATAATTTTTGATTTATTATGTGTCTCAGCCTAATGGTTGCATACAGCCATGCTAATACCATATTTTTTTTTAAGTCCACTTGTTTTAATTTAAACTTCCAAAGATTGTGTGTAGTTTATTTATCAACCAGTATAGAACACTCATACTCTAAGAAGCTTTTCTAATTGCAGGAGCCATACCTAAAACAACTTGCCAGGTATCAGTGCATTTTCATACAGACAGCAAAGTTGTGTTTATAATGGAAATTTTTTCCAATTTTCTTGTGATTCTAATTTCTTGCTACTCTCAGCACTCTAGCAAAGGAAGACTAATAGTCTATCTTCATATATTTCTCTTACTCCCTAGCAACATTTCTCTGTAGGAGTGCATGTTTGGTTTAGATGTGTCCACATCGACATATTTATTCAGAACAGGCCTCCCATTTTTAAGTTCATTCTCTATTGTAGATGCTTTACTTTTTAGGTGTAGTGACACAATACTGTGATAGGCTAAAAACACTGGAACTAGCCACAGAGACTTGGCATTAACCTCTCTATGAAATGCAATTTCATTAGTTTTATCAGAAAATAAACAAAAATCAAAATATATGCTTTGATCTGGTAAAATAATTAAAGCATTCATTTACTAATTTGGCATGTTTAACTCCTCTCATTGTTAACAACTTTGCTTCCTTCTGATTTTTTTTTTAATCTTGTCATGATTTTTAAGGAACATAAGGACTCTCCACTTCTTCAATCATTTCACTATAGATTTTTCTTCCTTATTCACTAACCTTCCTTATTCACTACCACAATAGAACTCTGTGCATGAAGTGTAACAGAAAAAACATGCTAAACAGAACCTGAACATTCTAATAATAGCAAGACTGGGGAGACTGGCTTGGTGAGGGAACTGGAAGTGCAGTACTGATGAAGCAACAAATTTTAAGTTAGAGTAATAAAGCTGATGTCAAATTTCAAAGAAAGGGCTAATTTTAACCATATTGGTAACTAATTAAAAATATATCTTTTAAACTAAGAAATCCTAATGACTGAGGTAGATGCTGCTGTTATCAGATACTGAATTAGGTTTAAGGTATAAGGGAAAGAAAGCACTGATGTAAAATTATCTTCATTTAAATTCAGATGGATAATTAAGAATGCTTCCGATTCAACATTCTAAACATGAAATCCAGGTATGACCTATCTGGTGCTCACTTTTCTATTTGAAGATGAACTCAGCAGTTGGTGAAAAGATCCACACGCTAACAGAATGGCAAACCACAAAACAGTTGTCCCCGTGAAAAAAATCAGTTACTCTGCGTTTGATATTTCCACCTGGGCTCATTCTCAACTGTTCAGGATGTGGATTCCTGAAGGTTTCTTCAGCATTTAACTAATTCTTTGTTGGATGAAGGGGCCGGGACTGTTTCTCCACACATAAATTGATCTTTGTCATAAATCACTTTTATAATGAGAGAGCAGCTAGGACACGTTGCCACGTCTTCCCCATTCTCCAAATCTTCCTTGGTGATGGAAAAGTTATCCCCACATGGACAGGGGTAGAAATACGTTTCGGAGTCCTCATCATGTTGGAAGTCCTCCATTTCCACCTCGTCGTGAAACACTGCTTTGGGTTCGTTGGGGCCGGCAGAGGGCAGATGCCCAAGCCGTCTGACAAAGCCTCTGTTGGTCTAACTTCCCGAAAGCCGGCTGGGCGGTAATTGAGTCTTTACCTTCTGAAACAGCTCCACCTTGAGGAAGCCAGGAGGAATAGGGTTCAATCTTCCTCTGCAATCTCAACTTGGCCTGGTTTAGACATACAAATTCCACACCAGCCAGAAACTGGGCCACTGTCCTTATTGTGCATGATTGTTTGAGGCTGCCAGGGTTTTGTTCATGCTCTGATGGATCCTTACGCGTGAACATGTTAAGATCATAACTTCTGAGAGAGAAAGTGTAGCCTTGATACATTATACCTAAAAATATGTAGGTAGCCCCTTATGCAAATGCCAGGATAATTTTATGTATATATTTACATATGTGATGAACAATTTCAGAGGAAAATTTAAATAGCTAAAATTAACTTAAGAAAAAATAGAAAACCAATACCAAGGAAGATATCTCAAATGAACTAAAAATATAATGTTCTGAGCCCAGATAATTCCCTGTGTCAAGCCTTTTAGCTTTAAAATACACAGATTCTTAAGCTATGAAAATTGTTATGAAGCCAGCACAACACAATGCTGAAATAAAGCATTATAATTTCTCTCTAGTTCATAATATTTTCATAAAAATTGTGGGCCAATGTTATTTATAATATACGTAACAGATTCCTAAACAAAGAACCTAGAAACCATACATTAAAAGACCAACTAAAATACCGATCCAATTGAGTCAGATTTATTCTAGGGACAAAAGCAAGGATGCTTGACATTTGAGAATTGATAACATAATGTAATGTATTGATAGGTCCCCAAAGGGAAATCAAGTGATAATTTCAGTTGACATTGTAAAGGAATCTGAGAGTTATTTAAAAAAATTAATTGGTAATTTTTATTGGCAAGATTACCTATACTTTGGTACAACATGATGTCATAAGATAGTACACATTGTGGGGTGCTCAGTAGAACTAATTAATGTATGCATTATCTCACATCCTCATTTTTTGTGGTGAGAACAAAATCTACTCTTAGTGATGTTCAAAATATAACACATTGTTATCAGCTGATGATCACCATGTGATTTAAATCTATTATAAATAGGTTCCTTGAATTCATTCCTCTTATCTAGATGACATTGTGTATACTTTGACCAATATCTTCCCAACCACTCCCCCATCCCAGCCCCTGGTAACTACCCATTCTACTCTTTGCTTCTGAGTTTAACTTTTTCAATTCCACATATAAATGAGATCATGCAGAATTTTTCTTGCTGTGCTTGGCTTATTTTAGTTTACATAACATCCTTCATGTTCATCCATGTTCTTGCAAATGACAGGATTTCCTTCTTTTTGAGATCTAAAAGTATTCCATTGTGTATATGTATTATATTTGCTTTATACATTCATCCATTGATTAACATTTGATTCTTGTGTAGTATCTCTATCTACAGATATCTCTTCAAAAATGTATTTCATTTTCTTTGGAAATATACCCAGTAGTTGGAATGCTGTTCATATGCTAGTTTTATTTTTAAAAATTCAAGAAACCTCCATACTGTTTTTTAATTTACAGTCTCAGTGTGAAAAGGTTCCTTTTCATTAAGATTTGTTTTCTTTTTCTTTTTGATAGTAGCCATTCTAGCAGGTGTGATATAGTAATTCAGTGTGGTTTTAATTTGCATTCACCTAACAATTAATGATATTTAGCATTTTTTATAAATGTTTGTATGACCTCTTTAAAGAAATGTCTATTGAGGTCATTTGCCTATCTGTGTGTGTGTATGTTTTTTTTTGTGTGTGTGTATGTGTGTGTGTGTGTGACTGGAGATTTAACTCAGGAGTACTCTGCCCCTAAACTACACCCCCAGTCCTTCTAAATTTCTATTTTGAAACAGATTGCCCAGGTTGGTCTTGAATTTGCAATCCTTATAACAGTCTCTGGGATTACAGGCGTGTACCACCATGCCTAGCCCAACTGCCTATTTTTAAATCAGGTTGTTTGCTTGCTATTCAGTCATTTGAGCTCCAATGTATTTTGGAAATAAACTCCTTATCAGATGTATGGTTTACAAATAGTTTTCTCTCATTCTGTAGGTTGTCTCTGCCCTCTGCTGATTGTTTCCTCTGAGACTATTATAACCCTGTTTGTCTGTTTTTGCTTTTGTTGCCTTTGCTTTAGAAGTCATATAAAAAAAAGTCGTTGCCCAAACCAATGCCATGGAACTTTCCCCCTGTGTTTTCACCTAGTAGTTTTAGTTTCAGGACTTATATCTTTAATTCATTTTGAGTTGTTTTTTGTCTATGGTGAGAGACAGGGTCTAATCTCATTGCTGTGTATGTAGCTATCCAGTTGTCCCAATAGCGCAAACACTGCACTTTCCCTATGGCATGTTCTTGGCAGCTTGGTCAAAAGCCAATTGGCCATGAGTATGGAGATTTCCTTCTGGGCTCTCTCTTTTGTTCCATGGGTCTGTGTGTCTGGCTTTATGGCAGCATGTGCTGTTTCAATTCCTGTAGTGCTGTAGCGTATTTGAAAGTCAGGCAGTGAGCTACCTCTGCTTTTGTTTAAGATTGCTTTGGATATGCATAGTCTTTTATGGTTTAATACATATTTAGGATTATTTTTTCTATTTCTGCAAAAAATGTTATTAGAAGTTTGATTGAGATTATATTGAATCTATAGATCACTTGAGAGTAGTATGGATAGTTTAACAGTATTAATTCTTCCAATCCATGAACACTAAATCTTTCCATTTATTTGTATCTTTTTAATTTCTTTCATCAGTGTTTTGTATTTTCAGTGTACAAGTCTTTTATTTCCTTGGCAATAATGGCATTATTATTATCATCATCACTGTTTTCTCTGTTTTACTGAAGATTTATTTATTCTAAACTATACCAAATGTGTTTTGGGGGATTTACTAGGTGTATGACTTGTAAATAATCATAGTTTTATTTGTTTCCTGTTGTTTTATATCTTCTGTTTCTTATTTCATGGCATTGGTCACAGTTTGTGGAATAAAAACATTAAAAATATACCAATGATCCAGTTAGAGAATATAATTAAAAATTTAACTCACAGTAGGACAAATATTGTAAAATATTTAGTTAGAAAGATGTCAGAGGCCATGATTTCATGGCTGAGCTTCTAAACTATGTATCAAAATCATTAGTGACCTATATATTGCTAAATCCAAAGTATATTTCTCTGCCTTTCTCTTAGCTTTTTCTTACTAAACTTTTGGTTTGGCAACTTTAAAATACATAACAGTTGGAAGAACATGACAAAGAAGTCCTATATACTCTCCATCCAAATTCACAAACTGTTATTGTATAAATACACACATCCACATTCACACACAGACTTTTTTTTTTCCTTAACCATTTGAGAGTAAGTTACAGACATTTTCTGCCTTTACCCTTAAATGCTTCTGAAGGACAAGCAGATTCCCTTATATAGCCACAGTATAATTTTTAAAATCAGGAAATTTAGCATTTAAACATTACTATTATCCAATGGATATTATTCAAATTTTGCAAATAATGTCTTTTATAGCATATTTTTTCCTGATCCATGATCCAATCCAGAATTACACATTTTCTTTAGCTTTTGTATTTCTTTAGTCCCCTATAATTTGTAACAATTTCTTAATCTTTCTTTGTTTATTATAACATTGACATTTTTTAATAGTATGGGTCGATTTATTTGTAATGAATGTCTCAAATTGGGTTATATGCTGTTTCCCCATAATTATTTTCAATTTGTACATGGAACAGGGTATGGACACCCTACAGGATGTTTTATTCTTTTCAGTGCCTTATAATCAGAAGACATAGGCTCTCAGGTTATCTAATTACTGCATGATATTAGCTTTGTACACTTGGTTAAGGTGTTATCCTTTCAAGCAGTGTTTGTGGTTTTAGGTATGTCTCATGCCATTTTTTTTTTCTTTTTGACATTTTCTTATTTTCTGACTCAACAAGATATTCCAGACTTACATACTTTTCCTGTCCTAGAACCAGTAATTTCTCTACCTACCCTCCTTTTTATGTGGGGAATGTTTGTTGAATCTCAAATCTGTGTGCTAAGTATGTTCATTGTTATGGGGATACCACTGTTTGCTAGGCCCTTTTATAAGTTCATTGTGATATCTTAAATTCCAATCCAATAATCCGAAACCAAGGGTTCTTGCTTTCCTTTTCCTATTTTGTTTTATCCTTCTTTAATATTGATTATCCTGGCTTCCAAAACTATTGATATATTTGTTTATTTGCATAGTATTTATCTTCTTTCCAACCTGAAGGCTATTTCTTCTGAGTTTCTTTCATTGGCTTCTCCCTCTAGATCAGGACTTTATATTACTAGAGTAGCTCCAGAATAAGTCTTTGGCTTCCTTCCTTCCCCTTTCCTTCCTATGTATGTTATACAGTATGTAGTTCTCTTAATTACCTTAAGCAACTAATTCACAAATTGATAATTCTAGACCTGGCCATTTGTCTAAACTGTACATTCATTGATAACCTGGCACCTCAATTTAGATGTTAAATTTGACATGCTACTGATGTTCTATATAATCTTCACATCTGTTCCCTTCATCCAAATTTCTGAAAGAGGCACCACCATTCACCCAGTTGTTCAAACCAAAACCAGGTAATCTTTTTTTCTCTTTTGTATTTAATCTCCTCACTACATTTATTCTGTCTTCAAATCCTATAAAGGCTTCTTATAAAATATTTCTCAAATTTTCTCCCTCTTTCTATCCCCATTGCCACCTCCCTGATCTGGGTACTCAGCATTCCTTGCTTGGGATACCACCAGTTTCCCTGTGCATGCTTTTATCTACTCTTACTTGCCTCTAATCTTCACAGGCACTTGCTCATAGCTTCAAAATCCAAATTACTAACCCAGGCTTAATAAAACTGTCCATGATCTGCCTCTTTCTCCAAACCCATCCTATATCTCTCTTGTGCTCATTCTGGTTAGCTTCTTTGCTGTTTTTAAAAACTTCATAATCTCCATGTCAAATGCTGCAGATAGGTCAAGAAAGCATGACAATTGTACTAGTCCATTTTCTATTAGTGTAACAAACCCCTTGAAGATGGGTTCTTTAAAAATAAAAGAGGTTTATTTAGCTCATTGTTAAAAAAAAAGTCCAAATAGCATGGTGCCAGCTCTAGCTAGGGCCTTCCTTGCTGCATCACATTAAGGCAGATGGCATCACAGTGTGACCCTGTGAAAGAGGGAGAGAGCACATGGCAAGACAGG